TTAGATGCCAAAACACCATAATCTGGACTGAATTCTGGATTTATAAAGTAAGTCTTCTTTCTTTTTTTTTTTTTTTTTTTTTTTTTTTACACGTCTGCTTATTTTTGTCACATGCCTCTTACCCACATATGATATCATATACAACCTATTATGATCCAAATTCTGAGCCACGTGATTGCTTAATCTATGTTTTAATTTAAGTTCCTATTTTTTTTAATGTAAGTTACTTTTTTTTATTTTTTTATTATTTTTTTATTATTTTTTTGATATTTATAATAATTTTTTTAATTTTATTTTTTTTTTTTTATTTCATATTCCTTTTAGAATCGACTATAGCTCTAGACAATATATTGACATTTGAGATTTGCTTTATAGGCTTATACTTTATGATGAAATCGTATTCTTGCAAGGTTATTATATATCTTGCTATTCTTCCTGTTGGGTTGGTCATATTGTTCAAGTAAGTTAAAGCAGTATGATATATTATTAATATAAAACAAGGCCCATGTAAGTATTAATAAATTTTTTTACAGCCCAAACTATCACTGTATACTTCAATTCCATTATAGTATAGTTTTTTTCTGAAGGTTTTATTGAACAGCTTGTATACTCAACTATATATTCTCTTTCATCATCATCAAGTTGCTATATGTAATGTATTGGTATAAAGAACAAATTCTTTATCATCCCAGGGATATGCCAAAATCAGAGCCGAGATTAGTTTTTCTTTTAATTCCTTGAATGCATCTTTTTGCTCTTAATAGCTTATTTAAGGGGGCTGCTATTTTGAAAAATCTTTGATAAACCTATAATAATAATCTATGAGGCCCAAAATCCTCTCAACATTTGTAGATTCTTTGGTCTTTGGAACTCTCTTATAGCTACAACCTTTGATTCTGCAGTAGCAATTCTATCTCCACTTATTTTATGACCCAGAAATGAAATTATACTTTGTCTTCAAAAATATTTATTAGAATTTAGCTTCAAATTTGCTTTATACAACCTTTCAAAGATCATGTTTATGTGTTCAAGCTGTTTTTCAAAATTAGGAGAGTATATATTTATATCATTGATATATGCCAAGACGAAATCCCACATTTCTTTTTGGAGAACCTGATCCATCAATCGTTGAAATATGGCAGATACATTTGTCAAGCCAAATAGTATTACCACAAATTTGTAAAGCTTAAACTTTATAGTGAATGCCATTTTTTCACAATCATAGAAGTATATTTTCACCTGCCAGAATCTACTCACGAGATTCAAAGTAGTATACCAGGCAGAATTCTTAAGAGCTCCCAATAGTCTGTTAATATAGGGAAGCAGGTAACTATTCTATTTGGTTCTCTTGTTCAACTTTCGAAAATATATACAAAACTGCAACTTTCTATTTTTCTTCTTTGCAAGGGCAACTGGTGAGACCCACAGACTATTAAACAGGCAAATTAACCTTACTTTCTTCAGTTGTTAGATTTCTTCTCCAATGAATTTCTGTTCTATCTTGGAAGTAGAGTAAAATTGTTGTTTTATCAGAGGCTCTTCTTTCATATAAATCTCATGTTGAACAACTGTTATTCTTTTCAATTCTCTAGGCTCTTGGGCGAAAATATCTTGGTACTTACCTAATATCTCCCTCGATTGTTCTTCCTGAATTTCTGTCATACTTCCAAAATTTAAGCCTTCTTTATTTTTCTCTTTTTGAGCTTGATATACCATTTCTTTGTCAGGCTTTTTCTGTAAAATTCATTCATTTTAATTATTTTTATGCTTTAAATACTATTCTATATGATTTCAACCTCCTCTTTTACAAACCAGCATTTACAAAAGAAGTAAGTTTGAGCTACAAGAACTTCTTCCTCATATTCATCTTTATCTTCAGATCTTGTTACATTATATTTATTAGGTTCTTAAAAAAAATAGATGTTCAAATCAATCAC